GGATGAGCCAGGGCTGGCTGCTGGGGGCGATTCTGCGGTTCATATAGTCTGGCTGAAAAGTGTTATGTAACCAGAAAAATGAGGAGTTGGGAAGGCCATGACTGAGGGAAGATACTAAATGAAATCTGAGTGGCCTGAGTTCTAGGAGATTGTCTGTGTGGATGTGCCCATAACACCCAGAGACCGGACTCTGAAGATCAGGAGAGATGCCAAGATTGGAAGAGCTGAGCCGAGGAGGAGAGGACGGAGGGGTCAGCAAGCCGAAGATCCCCGCAGAAATGAGCACAGGGCTGGGTGGAAGATTGTGTCTTCCGGGAGCTGGGGCCTGCTGCTTCCTGTTAGTCACAATCCTGGTGGATGTTCACACTCAAGTCATCAGCATGGGAAGGAGAAGGCATTTTAAAGATAGTCCCTAAGCGTGGAGCGTGTGACTCTTTCGTCTGTAGTATGCTGAGGTGGAGGTGGGCAGGACAAGAGGGTCACAAGTTTCATGCCAACCTGGACGGCAGAGTGAAGCTGTTGTGAGCAGCAGCCGCAACCTTTATCCCAGGTGGCTCAGATTGTCTAGCAATTTCAGGTCAAGGAAGTAGAGGAAAATGGGCATGTGTACACCATTATCCCTGTATCCTGTGACGCCGAGGTACAAGATGAAGACTACAAAGTGTCAGGTGCTTGGAAGGCTGTTGGTAAATCCTAACGAGGCAGGTGCTCCTCTGAGATGAATGGGAAGAAATGAAATTCCCTGTTTTTAACATGGTGACAGGAAGGGGCAGTTACAATGTGTGTTGCAGTCTCCTCGGGCGACCACGTCACGTCCTCCACAAGGTGCTGTGGGTAAAGATGATAGCTTGAAAGAACAGAAGAGACAGTCGCTCTGATGGTGACCTCGGGGTTTTCAGGAAAGAGAAAGAATGAATTAAGTTGACCAGGCCAGTTGCAGAGACTTGCATTTGGACTCTTGCTCACTTCCTTTTGGTCAGTGACCTTCAGGGTCCTTTACCTTCTTGAAACTTCAGCTTCTGTGTAAATAAGAGACACCAGTTCTTCATGGTGGTTGGAAATTCTAAAGTGCCATGGACACAGAGAGCAGAGCTTCCTAAGGGGAAGCCTTGGGAACCAGCTGGATAAGCAGACTTTACCAAGGAAACCTGGGGAGACAGCATGGGGAACCTGGTGGAGACAGCAGGGTGAGCAGAGGGAACCTGGGGGAGACAGCGGGGTGAACAGGGGAACCTGGGGGAGACAGTGGGGTGAGCAGGAGGAATCTGGTGGAGACAGCGGGGTGAGCAGGGGAACCTGGGGGAGACAGCGGGGTGAGCAGGGGAACCTGGGGGAGACAGTGGGGTGAACAGAGGGAACCTGGGGGAGACAGCGGGGTGAACAGAGGGAACCTGGGGGAGACAGCGGGGTGAGCAGGGGGACCTGGGGGAGCTGACGGGGTGAGGTGAATCTATGGAGGAATGGCTTAGCTGTTTCTTGAGACTCACGGGCTCAATATTACAGCAGCTACAAAAGAGAAAGCGAATGACTATGGATGCCCAGTGTTGTTAGAGCTGGGACGTAAGCGCTAGTCCTCTGAATCCAAACCCATATCTATACCATGAGACTAGAGCCATCAAAATGTCCCAGAGTGCCCTCACACATCCCAGCTGCTCATGTTCTGAAAAAGACCCCAAGAGGGGAGTCACTGGGATGGACTGTCACTTGCACCTCTTGACTCCCACTCCGACTGCTCTTCTGTTCTCAGGCTGCTGTGGGCTGGAACGGACTCTTTCCGATCATGGTCTGTAGTAAGTGACTGTGTCTCCTTGAGAAAGCATGTTCCCTCCAAGAACAGTGCAGCCTTGTGCTGGGACTGCTGGACACAGATGTCTTCAGTGTGTTCTTTCAAAGCAGTCCTCCTGCCTCAGAATCCTGGATTGAATCATAGATTTGAGCCATGTGATGGTTTGACTGAGATGTCCTCCATAGCCTTGGACCTTGGAGTACTTGGTCCCCAGTTGGTGGCATTATTGGGGTATGGCCTTGTTGGAGGAGATATGGCAAAGGGGGAGCTATGAAAGTGTAAGCCACTTCTAGTTCACTCTCTCTGCCTCATGCTTGTGGTTCAAAATTAAGCCTTCGGTTTCTTCTATTCGTTGCCTTGATCATGGTGCTTTATTCCAGAGATAGAAAAGTAGCTTAGGCCACCATGTTTAGGTTAGGTGTGGCTTTTGAGGGACAGACAGTGCCCTAGCTTATTAGATCCCAGTTTCAGCCAGGCATTGTGGCATGCGGTTCTAGTCTCAGTACTAAGCAAGATGGCAAGTTTGAAGCCAACCTGGACTACAGAGTTCTAAGCTAGCCAGGGCTACCTAGCAAGACCCTGTCTGAGTATACAGAAAGAGGGAGGGAGGAGAGGGCCCAGCAGACAGACACACTAAAGTTCTTGTGTCTTGACGAGCTAGCTCTTGAGGAGCCGAGGCGTCTTTGCTGGGTGACAGACTTCAGGTTGTTCCGTTTGTGGCTCTCAGAGGTTCTTTGCCTCTACAGATCTCCATCCCACACAAGCTCCTATCTGTCCCTTCTCTCTGCCCACACAGCCTTCCCCAGGCATCTCTCTGGGGCTGGCATCTGCTTCCCTTTCTTCATTGATGGCTGGCATGAATGAGTGGCTGTCTGAAGGCCTTCATTGTCAGCTCCCCCAGTAAGCAGCCAGAACTTTCTCTGACTTGGGTTTTGAGTCCTACCGGTTCAGTGAGCCAAGAAGTCTCCCTGTGCTGGGCGGTGAGGTTCTCCTTCTGTTGCCCTTCACTACCCATGAATGGTTACCCAAGAGCCTGGAAGCTGACACAGAGGACATGTAACCTTCAGCCCTGCAGCCCAGGCCCCTTCCTGCACCTGGGGCAGGAGCATTGGACAGGCGGCAGCTCCACAGCCTCTCCAAGGAAAGCGCTAGTAACTAACTAGAACTTACATTAGATGGTCATATGCTGTGTCCTCTGAAGCCTCAGTGTGCAGTCACCAGGCCATTTTGTCCTGGGTACCCGCTGTCATAGTGGCTGTTTGCAGCTGTGAAGTCAGGACTTTCTCAGGCCTTGGTTACACATGAATGGAACTCACTCTCTCACTTGCTCTCTTTTTTCCACCTGGAGAACTCATTCAAGTTGTTCACACCTTGTCCCCTGCTCAAGACCTGCCCTGTAGGGTATAGGACTAGTGAACGGAAGCCATGGAAGTCCAGATGCAAAGGAGGGAGGCACTGAAGTTCACACTTCTGTGTACCCATGGATTAGTAAGCAGAGCCTTTAATGATTGAGGTGGCTGCCCCTCCTCTGCCCTGCAGACCTGCCCAGAGCTGAGCTGTGCAGGTACCTGGAGTGAGCTGGTTGTTGGGGCCTCCAGAGGCTTTCTCAGAAGAAGCAGCCCTATGAGACCCCTGCCCCCATCAGCTTTACCGGCTGGTTCAGCACCTCATGTATAGGACACGCCAATCCCCCCAGCTGCCCGCTGTTCGCGCTGAGCCTCCCTAAAGGCCTTGCATCTGCCAGTGTATAAGCCAGAAAGTGTGGCTGCACTCTGCAGCCGAAGAGATGTCAGGCGGCACTGTACAGCAGCCAACGGACAGGTGTCCTCTCCGAGCGTGGGGACCATCGTGGCGGTGAAGGGCTTTTTAAGCATCATGCACTCCAACCTGTAGAGGCTCAGCAGTCTGGCCACGTAGTTCTTCCTCCTGGGTGAACCTCTGCCCAACCACCCTGGGCAAAGCACACCATGCCTTGGGCCACAGATTACTCATCTGTGAAAACACTGGAACCACACACCCTTTTCTGTGGTGCTCCTGCCTCGGGAACAGTTAGTTCTTGGGATGTTTGGGCAGGTCAGGGAAGTCTTTGGTTCTGTGCAGACCACGTGCCACTTGCATTCATGGAGACGAGCATGGGCTCTGGAGTGCGACTTACTGCTGGGTGTGGTGCTGCCTCAGCTGATGGCAGGAGTGAAATCTGTATTAAGACTGTGTTCCCACAGGGTGTCCCACAGGGTGTCCCCCGGTGGCACTGATGTGAGACGTGGACTTGGCCGATTATTTACGCTACTTCACGACAGAAGTGTTTGAGTGCAGTAGTATTTGGCCTTGGGAACTAGCAGTGTCAGATTTCCAGGGTGTAAGGGAGGTCTCCAGAGAGCAGCAGCCGTCTCCTGGCTTGACAAACTAGACTGTTTCCTTTTCCAGTGGATCAGCTAAGGTTAAACTTAAACAAATATGAGCAGCTGGGAGGCCTTGGCAGGAGTAAGGCTCACACATTCACAAAAAAAAAAAAAAAAAAAAAAAAACAAACAAAAAAAAAAAAAAAAAA